ACAAGATACTTCATCAAAGAAAAGTTGGAAAACGGGTTGATTTGTACACGCTACTTGTCCAGACACGGCCAACTTGCTAATGTACTTACCAAAGGTTTAGGCAGTTCAGTGTTCCTAAGTATTATCTCCAAGCTAGAAATTGAAATACCTATTCACCAGCTTGAGGGGGAGAGTGGGAAAAGTGACTAATTGCATGTATACATCGCATCTTTTTGCAACAGATTGTATCCCTAGAATCAGGCTGATTTAATTAGATTACCATTATGATAGAATATCTCACAAATCATAGGATCCAAAAATAATTTTCATTTCCTATAACTAGGATTGTCACATACATATATATATAAATATACGTGCAGGTGTGTGTCTGACTTTTGGTATTATCCAATCAAGTAATAAGACATCAAATTCTTCCACAACAGAGATTCCAGTGAGATCAGATAGGGAAAAAACAGATAGGGGCTAACACTATTAACCACTCATACCTAAAAACAGAAAATGAAATTCATTTACATTGGATTAGCATATAACCACAGGATTGGACTTTGTTACCAAATGTTATTACCAGCTAAAAATGTGTTTTCTGAATTTCTTTTTACTGGTTTGCTTTCCTACTAGTTTGATGATCAGTGCAAAACTAATTGAGTGAAACATGCATGACCTACCTTTAGTCCATCAATAAGACGTCCAGGCATGCTTCCGATGTACGTCCTCCTGTGCCCTCTAATATCAGCCTCGTCTTTAACACCACCAAGAGATATGCGTACAAATTTTCTGCCCAAAGCAGATGCAATTGATGATGCTAAAGATGTCTTCCCAACACCTGGTGGGCCAACAAAGCACAAAACGGGACCTCTTGCATCTGGTTTAAGCTGCAATTGAAACCAATATAAATAAGCATCTGATGCATAATGGTCAGGTAGATGTGCTAGTTGCCATACCAGCAATCTCAAGATATTATTAACCCTGAAATGTATAGACTAATTTCTTAGGTACTTATCTGCTCCCTAGAACAAGAAATAGTCTAATAATTATAGTTAAAAAAAAGGAAATAAAAGACCTGCAAGTACCCCTAGTACATTTTTAGCATTAAATAGGAAAATAGACAGAATTAATAATAAAATATAAGCTTAAGTTACTCCAAAGAAATCTAGAAAAATCCATATACTTATTGTCCAACTTATTGATTTGGTCAAGAATCCTGCAGATTATCTTCTGAATCAGCATCAAACTCAGTACAATTGATATTAAAAGCATCCAAGAGATAAACAAGTAAAAACTGGTGAACCTTGCGAACTGCCAGATATTCGATAATCCTTTGCTTAACTTTGACTAGACCATAATGATCACTGTCAAGCCGTTCCTTTGCTCCTTTTAGATCCAGTTCATATTCTTCACTTGCTTTCTCCCAGGGCAAATCAGCCAGAAGCTCCAGGTAAACACGTGAACTATTATATCCAGGTTGTTGAGGTGGCATTTTCTTAAGCCTCCTGCAATTTGAAGGAAAAACAGAAGTGAAATTATTGAAAAGAAAATTACATATATCAACAACATATCCTAGAAGAGTGCATGAACCATGAGGATGGCAAACACTAGTCAAATATAGTTTCATCTTTTTCCCCTTTACTGAAAACAACAAGAATTTCTAAAAAGCATGCCAAATGGGGTGCACCGATAGGAGAAAAGGAAGTCTTCATTAATTTTTCCCTTTCTATGACACTTTCTATAAAACTAGTTCCAATTCTTAAGTTAATCACTTATGGTAAAGAAAGTAAAGGGAACGAAAATGATGCCTAAAGAGAAAGAGAAAGAGAAAGAGTGAGAGAAAGAGAGACAGAGAGAGAGAATATTTGGTGGATTGGTTCTGTAGCCAACTCCATAAGCAAACACAATGTGGCAGATTACTACAATATCTTAAGACACTATCAATCCACAGCCAAGTCTCAATTACGACCTAACCAAGAAAGTATTGGAGAATACAAACCACATTAGTTATACGCACTAGAGAAACTCTCACCTTTCTTTGACCACTCTACACTCACCACACCCCATTTCACCCCTTTCATGCGTTAATCTCAGCATTCTTGGGTTTTATTTACTTGTCCCTTGTTCTACAAAATTCCCCTCAGATGAATCCTTGATACAGTTTCTCAAACAAAGTGAAAGCAGACCTCGAAATGTTTGGTTCTCTCATTGTACATGGTGTTATTTGTGAAAAACATTTCCACTTTATAGCAGAATACAACATTTCCCTTTGCTCTAATACGAGTAACTAGACCCTTAAGCCATAAAAGCTTCTCGTACAGCTGTGTGATAGCCAAATATTCTACTTTCATGGTAGACAAATGTTACGGTACACAAAAAGCAGGGCATTGGACCCATGGAAGCAGCATATGGAGGAGTTTGAGTCTATCGTTTGTAAGAAATTGGTTTCTTTGAGGAACTAAATAGAATTAGAATTATTTTAAAATTTTTGTTTAAGTATTTAAGTATAGGTTTATATTACAAAATTGGAACAAAATTAGGACTATGATTCCTAGAATTGTAACAGGGATGTAATTCAATTAGTTTCCCTATCAATACACCTAGTATCATGAATAAAATCATCAACTATTAATCCGCAGAGTTTCTCTCTAAGAGGTTCTTAGACAAGCTTCATCTTAAGCCGGCACGGCCAGAATATCGAGAACCAAGCAACTCGCTTGGTTCAGGATTTCACACTAGCAGGCCCGTGATAGATCCAGAGCCCGGGACCCTAACAAATTGATATCAGAATAGATGGTCATGGAGGGCCTCAAAAGCTTCCAACAATAATTTGAGATGTTCATGAAGTAATACTAGGAGGATCCAACCCGCTCAGAAGAGAAGCAACGTGGGCTCACTGCTTTGGTCAAATGCATCTCTTGGAAACTGCCCGCCAGAAGGAGGAAGATTAGTATTCAGCTCAATAAATTGAAAAGAAGAGAAGTTGACCAACTCCAGCAACAAAAAAAAGAGGAAAGTACTTTTTGCAGTACGCAAGGTCACACTTTCCTAATATGATGGCTTAGCTGGTCCATTGGGGTCATTAACTGGCGTGAGTACTTCTTCCGACACTACGGGTAGCTGAAGAAGACAATGTGAGTTTAGCCACTTTTTACCTTGAAGACGATGTCCAACTATACTTCCTAAAGTAGAAACAAGATCGACCAAAGCTCTCCAGGAAAGACGTTAAATTTCCACTGCAATCTTAGACCTGGCCCGCCAATATGCACAAACAA